GTTTGGCAATACTCAAAACAGCTTATTTTAAGTTAAAAAACTTATTTTAAGCCAAAAGTTAAAAGCTGGGGTAGGGGTGCTTTTTTTTTTAGCTTATAAGTTGTTTTAAGTTGACCACATTTTTATCTTTTTGTGCTTAATATTTTTATACAATCTCCAAATTACTCATATAACCCTAACATTTCTTTCTTCCATTTTTCCCTTTTCACGTTTGACATAACAACTTCAGCACTTTTATCCAAACGCATAACTGTTTATTTTAAAAATAAGTTTCAGCACTTTTAAGAGTACTTTTTTAAAGCTGCTTTTATTAAGCCCATCCAAACGCGCCCTATATCTATTAACTGCTAGTGTTGATTATAAGAAATCAATATTCTTAATTTTGTGTGTAATTATAATATATGATCATATTAATGATCATCAAAAGTGATATAATTACAATTATTTTCAAAGGCTTGAGGTTGAGCTTCATTGTGGGTAAGACGATAAATTTAAGTTTTATCGCACCAAAATAATAAGACGATGAATTTACGTTCAATCGCACCAAGAGAGTAAAACATTGGGTTAAAATCCTGGTGATCATGATAAGAAGATATTGGGGTCAAGTTTCATCTATTTATGGCTTAAGACATTCTTATATGGATAAGACATTGAATTTGAGTTTTAATACACCATATTGATGATATAATAATGGCTAAAGAAAAACTAATGTGTTTTTGATGAGAAGTCTTGAAATTTATTGAATTTGCTCCATTACGTAAAGTGAATGTGGTAGTAGTGCATAATATGTCTGAAAGAAGACAAGTGATTTAATAATGCACATAAATATGGAATGAGGTACTAAAGCTATCATAATTTGATATGCTCACATGTTTGTGTTCCATTCATCAAGAATGGGAACTTTTGATAAATGCTAAAAATATAAATTCATTCTCTAAAGGGAATGAAGTGTAAGTCATCATGCTAAGCATGAGAAAGATTGCAAACTTTGGTCAATGATGTGGTATCACCAAGAATATCTCTAAGAAGACATGTATTATAGAAAAGTTTCATGTTTTATCTTCAGGTTTGTATTGCACAAGAATTAGTGCAATTGAGGCACATTCTATGGTAAATAAGAAGTTTACTAATTCCAATACTTTCTTAGATTGACACGATTGTCTGGGACATCGTTAGTCTATAATGTTTAGACGAATTATGGAAAATTAAAATGGACATCTATGGAAGAAACTAAAAATTCTTTTAAATGGTGAATTCTATTGTACTACTTGTTAGCAAGGCTAGCTAATTGTGAGACCATCATAAACGAAAGTTGAGATTGAATTCTCTGCGTTCTAGGAACGTATACAGATATTTGTGGACCTAGTCATCCACCTAGTGAATTGTTTAGATATTTAATTGTCCTAATAAATGTTTCTTCTATATGGTCTCATGTGTACCTATTATTATCTCGCAACTTGATGTTTGCAAAAATATTGGTACAAATAATATGTTTACATGCACAATTTTCTTCAGATTAGTTCATTCAATGATGAGATCACGACTCACCTAAAAGGTAAAGTAATTGAGAAGAAATAAATCTGAAAATTACTTTTTGAGTAATAAAATTGAAATTTACTCATATAATAGTAAATTAGAAATTTACTAAAGCAGAAGGCACATGACGTAGTAAACTTGGAATTTACGAGTACTAATAATTTTATTAGTTGGCATGAATAATTTAGTCATCCCAAAGATATGCATATTAAGTAATGGACATACATTGAAAAACTAGAAGATTCTTCAAGAATTCTTTTGTTGTTTGTTCTCATGACAAGTTGATTGGATCAACTAATGTTGAGATTAAATGTCTAAATTATGAAAAGTATAAAAGGTGAATATGGGTCCGTTCACCTATCATGTGACATGATAAAAGGATGCATCTATAAGATAATCACATGTGCGTTTATTGTCAACTAGTAGTTTGACATTCACAAAATTGTTAGTGCAAAAAAATTGAGTTAAGAGCACAATTTCAGGATATGTAATTAAGAAAATTTATCTTGATAATATTGATAAATACTCAAGATCTTGTGATATTAAATGTCTGAGATAGTGAAATCATTGCTTGTGAAAATAAAGCTCCATGTGTTGATCTGAAATATGATACCGCATACAAAAGTAATTATATGCATCAAACCAACAAATTATGATCAGATTTTCTTTCTGTTGATTTATGATCAGGGGCCAAATATTTTTCATCTGATTATTTTATTATGTAGTAGATAATCAACGAATATACAATGATGCAGAAAGATAGATTCTCCAAAAGATTGAGACATATGTTAGTTTGTCTAACATAAGGGGGAGACTAGAAGCAACACAAGAGTTGTAAATACAGCTATTGAATGTCCCTTAAGAATAAAGTTTATGACATGCATGAAGCATGATAGACTAATCAATTCTAAATAAAATAATTTTTGAAAAATGGAGAGGATCAAAGAATCAAAATGATCATAGTAAGGAGACAATGTGTTTTTGGAGAGCCTACGACATAACACTTTATGAAACCTCGTGAGAAGGGTAGCTACCTAAAAATAATGAAGTGATGAGATATCAATAAGTTTTGTCGTATCGTGAATTGATACAAAATGATATATCGTTGACGATATCTTTGATACAATAGCGCACAATATTGTAAAAGATTATGAAGATATGAATTTTGCATCTATTAAAGCATGCTTGTGTAGAAATAAGTATCAAGTGAAAAATGGAATGATGCATCTTGATAAGCGTAAAACTTATTTGACTTGCAATGTAGGCACTAGAAGATGTCATACATCTAATATTGAATGTTATCACTTGACAAAATTGATATGAAAATATACAATGGATTCAAATTTATAGCATATACAAGTTTTTGAAAACTTGTCTATCATCCTCATAAGGATTAAATAAATTCAAAAAATGCATAGAGTATATACAAGTATTGTTATGCAAGTTGATAACTATAATTGAAACTCTTGAAGAGTTTTCAAAAGGCAACAAATTATTTGCTTAAAGAAGTTAAAGTAAGGAACTTGGAGAAATCTTTGACTCTGAAAGAAAGATTCATAAAAAGAGATAGAAGTTCGTCAAAGTTTTTTTACACTCATGAGCTCCCAAAAATGGTGATATCAACATGCAACAAGTTTGTTCAAGTAATATTATATTTGATTTATTCACCAAGTCTCTACCTATTACAACTTTCAAGAAGATGGTGCACAAGCTTGGAAAACGAAGATTCTAGTATCTGAATTGATGTTTTCATGAAGGGGAGTTAATACGTGATGTACTCTTTTTTTCTCACAAGGTTTTGTCCCATTGAGTTTTTCTTGTAAGGTTTTTAATGAGGCATCCATAATGCGTATTATTAGATATGTGTACTCTTTTTCCTTTACTAGATCTCTTTTCCCACTGGTTTTATCTAGTAAGGTTTTAACGAGGCACATAATCTACCGACCTTCAAGGGGGAGTGTTATAAACAATTTATATTATAGTGAATGTCTAATTATGTGGAGTCCTTGTAGGACATGGTTAGGAATCCTACTTGGGACCAAGTAAGGTTTTCCCTTTAAATAAAAGGTTTTCCTTCATCGTAAATAAGATTTGTGAAAGATCTAAGAATCCTGAATATACTTCAAGAGAAACAAGAAGTCTTTTCTCTTCTCCCTACTTTTTTCTTCTTCTAAATTTATATAGTTTCATAACAATTACTATTTTTCTTATAGTTATTAGATTTTAATTTAGATTAGCGATGAAATAAAAATATTTATTCCATATTACTCAATAAAAAATTTATTTTGTAATTGATAAATTTTTAAATGATTCATACATATTCACATATTTTCACTCTTGAGAAGTTTAATAATTTTGAAAAAGAAATTTAGACACATATATTTACATCACAAGAGAAATTGTTAACAAAAACAAATGAATATAGACTAAATCATGTCAACTTCATATATTAGAACATTATATACTAATGTATATATTAAGCAAAAAAATTTATTATATCAAAATTACACGAGGTAATGGAATGTACAATCTTAGGATAGAACAACTTACTTCATCAGAATAGTGATACCTCATATTCCGCTAAACTTCAAACTCAATCAATGATAATAAATCACAGATGAAAAATTTAAAAATGAAGAAGAGTATGAGATTAAAAAAAAATTGGTTGAAAAATGAGAGGAAACCTTTCTATTTATAGTTAACAATCGATAGTATGAACAAGTATTTTTTGTTTCTTCTCAGAAAAGTCGTGACTTTTCTGAGAAGTAACAATCCTTTCGAAAACTCACAATATATTGAAAAAGTCACAATTCATTGAAGAATCACAACCTTTTGAAAAAAATCACAACTCATCGAATGAGTGACCTTTTAGAGAAGTCAAACCTCTTTGGTAAAATAACAACTTATTGAAAAAGTCACAACCCGTTAAAAAATTCACAACTTATTGAAAAAATCACAACTCATCGAAAAATTCATAACCTACATTAGAAATATTATAATATTTTAACATTTAAATTAGGAGTTCATGCTTTTATGGTATTAATTAAAGAAAGATATATAACCTTGATTATTTCAAATCTAAATCAGTACAAATCTAATTTATAATTATGTATCAAATTCATAGCTGATGTATCATTTGCTATGTATTGGGCGATAAAACAATATATGCTTAGGTTTGAAAAAATTAAAATTTCTAATTTAAAGAACTTTCAAGATAGAATATAATTATCGCCCAAAAATCATATTTCCATGATAAAAAAAATGGATGGAAACTCGGAGGACGTTTCCCCAAATAAACCTAATATAACCCAAATTCAAATTAGTTAGGGCTCTAATATAAATAGTTGTAATACACGTTTACCTTGCCTAACAAGAAATGCAGTGGAGAGTCCAGTTCTAATTCATCAGTTTCATCAATGGAGGTTTTCGATCTCTCTTCAATGGAGAAAAGTGGCAGTTCAAAAGTAACGGATAATGGTGGTCGTTCAAAAGCACTGGACAAGAGGATGATGAATTATTTGGTGAAATACGTAATAGGAAAATCTTTTCCGTATGAGCATACTGTTATAGAGGATGTAGATGAAGTTTATGGAATCAGACTGTATAGCCCATTACAAATTCTTGGAACTACCCAGGGGACGAAGAAGAACAAGCGATTTATATTCACCTTTCAGAACAAGCGGAATTGCAAAGTGTTTATTAGTAAAGATACTCCAGGGTTTTGGAAACCTAATCCCAAAATTAAGTCTATTTTTGATTCCAACAAGAAACACATTGGCAACATCAAAATTTCCTGGTAAGAATGTATGATTACTCCCCGATGATCGATCCGTTTTTTTTTTTGTGATTTGGGTGATTTCAAATGGTTTAGAACTTATTTTCTAATTGATTTATATATTTTTTTTGTGTTCTGGAATTTCCACATGAGTTTCATACACTCGAATTGCATAAAATTACTTGGTACCTGTGTCGCTGGTTGAATACTGGACAGAACGTGTTTTATGATTGATTTGCATTTCATACACTCGAATTGCATAAAGTTACTTGGTACCTGTTGCTGGTTTAATAGTTGACGAAACGTGTTTTATAATTGATTTTCATTCATACACTTGAATTGCATAAAGGTACTTGGTACCCGTTGCTGGTTGAATAGTTGACCGAACGTGTTTTATAATTGATTTGCATTTCATACACTTGAATTGCATAAAGTTATTTGGTACCCGTTGCTGGTAGAATAGTTGACAGAATGTGTTTTATAACTGATTTGCATATTTGGTTTGTATCCCATAGTTCTAGGTTTTAGATGAGTTTCATACCCTCGAGTTGCATTCTAGTTATATTAAAGTTAAGAGTTACATCGGTCAAATAGTTGATTAAACTATTTGCACCTCCCCGATTACATAGTTTTCACGTTCCTTGACTAATGATTTGACCGAGTTAGCTTGGTCAAATTTAGTGATTAAACTATCTGCACCTTGACTAATGATTTGACCGAGCCTTACTCAAATTAGTTGATTAAACTATTTGCAACTCAACTAATGCCATAGCTTTCACACGCTTCAACTAATGATTTGATCATTTCAATAGGTCCAGAACATGTTTTAAAAAAATGATGTTCCGGTTGAGTTTTGGATACTCAAGTTGCATTCTAGTTATATTTAAAGTTAAGAATTGGAGTTGATCAAATAGTTGACTAAACTAGCTCGGATTCATGATCTGTACCTTGACTAATTGCTGTTTGTTTTTACAGGTACTACTACTATGACACCAACAATGGTAGACGCAAGTCATCAAAGAGATTGAAAAAGAGTGAGTGGCATATCAGAGAGTATTATCTCTCATCGAAATATTTGCCCCCAAACAAAGTTGAGAGAAAAGATGTGATATTAACCATGATGATGAAGACGAAGGAACAAAAAGGTGGTAATAGTAATAATAACAATCAAGAGAAATCCGATAAGGCAATGCAGATTATTCAATCTCAAGAAGACGGACACGTTCAACTTGATCATAATAATGGTGACGCTGTGGAGATGTCTGTTGAGAATCAGCTAATTATGCAATCTTTACAAAGCCTTCAACTTTCTGATAAGGCGATGCAGATTATTCAATCTCCACAAGGCGGACAGGTTCAACTCGATCATAAGAATGGCGACACTGTGGGGATGTCTGTTGAGAACCAACTAATCATGCAACCTTTACAAAGACTTCAACTTTAATGACAAGAATAGAAAGATTAGTTTCTTTTTTGGCTTAAAAACTAGTGCTCATACCTAAGTGCTCTTTTGTTTTTACAAACTGCTGAATCTATAGTTAAGTTTGCTGCCAAATGATTACATTGATTGTTGGGATTCCTGTCTACCTTTTTGCTTTAAGTATATATGTGTGATAGTGAACAATTGATTCACTTTTGCTTGCTGGTGTTAAGAGAGCTTGATTCGGATTTTCTTTCGCTTGACCCTTGGGTAGGAGATGTGTTTTGATACTTGAGAAACCTTAAGTTGTTTTCATCACTGTTTGATGTCTGTTTAACATATGCTGCGTTTTATTTTTCGTTTGATCACAGATTAGTAGCTGCACTTATGTTCGATACTTGTATTTGATAATGGTCTTCAGTTGAATATCTTAGCGTATATTGCATCAATATGAACGTTGGAATTTGGAGTGAACCCCATGGTGCTTATAGTAGACCAGTTCTTTGACACAATGTCTCCATATATTCTACTGCTCCGAGTTCTGGGGTGATAGACTTGGATCTTTTGTTGCTATTGACTTTTCTGTCGTTTTAACTGATATATGTGTTTCTGCAACTGGTGAACCACACTAGTTTTTTCTGTTGCACTTAATTCTCAACCCGACCACAGTGTTTTTATACTTGAACGACTTGCTGCATCTGTTTAGTTATAATGCACGAATTGATGCTTATGGATCTAATGGTCTTCTGGGACAAAACTGGGTGTGAAATGGAACTTTGATGGCTGACAGTCCAATGTTGTTTCTATGTCTACCTTATTTGGCTGCCAAAATGCGTTGAATTGAGGTGAATACAGTCGTGATTTTGACCTTATACAAGCCGATGAGGAAAAGGAAAGTTTTGCCAGATTCTGTAAACATATAATGTGTTGACAAGTTGTTGTAGGTACTATTCCGTTCTTAATTGTTGTTTTTGTTATAATCTATGGATTTTGTGATCATCTTCATTTGTCTTTTGGACTTGTACACGCAAGCTTACAGCCCTTCATCGACTAGTTACAACAAGATCTATACTATCGATGAACTTATATGCAGAGCAAATATTATAGATGAAGCAGCAAACACAGCAGCCTCCCTGCATTTGGACTAACTCACCAGTGATGGAATATCATTGAAAAAGCCTCAATATTTCATTTCTTGTATTACTTCAATGTATCTTCAACTTCTTGAAAAAAAAAACTGTAAATTTTAGCTAATGCTATATATACAATGTAAATCATCTTTTTTATAATGTCAATTGTAGTCTAGACAATGTGTTTGTTTATGATGAGAATAATCTATTTATTTCATATTGCTTGATGTAAAATCAAGCTACATCCATACCCCAAGTTTAGGGACATTTTATTTTCCCCGGGTCCTATTACACCTTAAAGCATCCCACGTTTATGTAAGGTTCTAGGGAGGGTCAACTCAATGAAATATGACTAGACATTCTATCCTAACGCAAGCATTATTGACTGCTTCTACGAACAATGATAGAGCAAATCTAAGTTGCTCGGACTCTCCATATATATTGCCCGTGGAGAGAAGACAGAAAAAGGATTTCTCGTCACTTTCCTTTTGTCTTGTATTCCCCCATGTCTTCTGCAAGAATGAGAAAGATGGGCTCCTCGCTAAACACTTTTTCATATGTTCTCGAGTATTTTTCCTTCATCCCTTTTAGGTACAAATAATTTTCTCATTAGAATTTCTTGGGGTAGGTGGGAGGTGTTATTCTCTTTCAAACATCAATGTAGAACACCAATGAGGCCACATACCATTAGAATAAGAATACATCAATGTGATAGTTTCTTTTTGCAATCAAACAATTAATTGAATAAAATTTCCCAAATAAATTAGCAGTACTATGATTAGATGTGATTGCTACCTTTCTTTACACACCATTATCATTTTCTTGCTTCAAGTTTCAATCTATACACTTACCATAAAAGCAATGACCTTACTCTCAAAGGTTTTCTATAACAACTACACCTCAATTTCAAATAAATTAGAAATAATTCTACATACTTTTATTGTCGTGTCACTCAATTTACATATGTTTCAATCTAATATTATAAAATAAATTAGTTTGTATCATCGTGTTTAGACCGTGAAAACTCTCCATTACATGAATAATTTAATATTTCATTGACTCTTTCAATTTATTGAAATGAAAAATTTTAACGACAGCAACAACAATATACCTAAAGTTGAGGGTCTATAAAATGATATTTTTTTTATGCGATAAAGAATAAAATATACTCTTCTACTTAATTTCACTTGCGAAATTACCCAATATGCTATAGTGGGTTGTTGTATCTATTGCTAATGTTAATATAATGATATAAATATAATATTTGCAAATTGGTCTGCCACTTGATGGAAAAAAGAACCAATTTTCCATTTGGCATTTTTCTATGTATAATATAATTTTTGAATTAATCATCACATGGTGGAGTGAGAATTTCACAAAGATATCTAAATATCACAATAAAAACTCTTTCAAAAACTATAACTAGAAAATAACAAATTATCTTTTTGGCACTTCCCTATGCATTAACCATAGATTCATAGTATATTATTTTATTAGAAGCTTTAGGATGATTAATTATAGGAATAATGCCCAAGTACCCCCTCAACCTATGTTCGAAATCTCAGAGACACACTTATACTATACTAAGATCCTATTACCCCTGAACTTATTTTATTAATAATTTTTTACCCCTTTTTAGCTTACGTGACACTATTTTGTGGGCCTAACGATGGTGGACTTTTTTTTCAGAACTAGTGCCACGTAGGCTAAAAAGGGTAAAAAATTACATATAAAATAAGTTCAGGGGGTAATAGGACCTTAGTATAGTATAAGTGTGTCTCTGAAATTTCGAACACAGGTTGAGAGGGTAGTTGGGTATTTTCCCTTAATTATATCATAACTTAGCCTCCAAAAGAGGACCAATAGTAGATTATTTTAAGTTGTTCTTAACCATAAAAAAAGGAGAGAATACATTAAAAAAAAAGTTTTGATGTAAACAATTATCGAATATCTATAATATCACTCTTTAATATCGATGTGTTGAGGTGGAGGTGCGATTTTAAAAGATGATAAGTTAAATATATTTATCAAAATATTATAATTATGTATATAAGTCAAATATTATTACTTGTTACGTATATATATTAAATTTTTATAACTCAAAACTTTTGACTTTTATTGCTTCACACAAGTTATTTATGTATTTGTAGAAAGTTCAACAATTATCATAACCTCAATTTCATTTAGCGAAATTCTAGATATCTGATAAAATAATTGAGATAATTACACATTGATCATTACATTACTATTTTAGATACATAAATTTTATGCAGTAGTTTTGAGAAAGATTTGATTAATTTTTTTTTTATATTTTTAATGTAAAAATTATTAACGATTGGACAATATAACAAAAACTGATTGTGACGTCCAAAAAGCAGCCATAGATTAGGTTGGTTTCTTTTCACTTTCCTTATTTTGAATTTTTTATATTATGCTTTTTCCCCCTTTTAAACTTAATGTATGTGACAATGAACTTTTTTATTTTATTTTATTTTACAATTTGGTTGGACATAGTGATAAACACTAGTTTAATTGGTATTTATTTTTATAAATAAAATCCTTGTAAAAATGATAATAGAATATCTAATTTTTCAAAGTAGAATATGTATAAAAGTAGCTGTATTTTGTTTGAATTTTAGACTTTGAATAAATATTTATGGCAAGGAGAAAGTCAAGTATGTTGACTTGGAAAGATGAGATTTCCTAATATTTATCATCCACCTACAATAATTTTTTCGAAACTTTTAATGTTATTATACTAAAGTTTGATATATTTAGATTTATAGTAAAAAAATATTTTAATAATTAAACATTTGCTAGTAAAAATAATTTAATTTAAATACGAATTGTTGATAAAAGAATAATATAATATAATTTAATAATTCATCATCATTTTTGATGATCTTATCAATAATATATCGCACTTAAAAACAATCAAATAAAAATATTTCAAACATAAAAAAGAACTACATATTTCATGTCTATGTAATTTGATGAATTATGAAAGTTTTCTCCTAATTCTTGATATGTATATATATATATATATTTGTCATTTAGCTTTTTGTCCTCTCATAGAATACTATTTTGGCATGTGTTAGTTGAGAAAATGACAGAAATATTCCTCATGTTTGAAGATACAATTAAAATAACCATCAAATATTCACTAAATTATTTTAATTTGTTAAGTTTTTAAAAGCTAATATTTTCAAAGGTATAATATTTATTATTTATTTCTAATGTTTGCTAGAGTGTGATACATATTTTTTAAGGTGTAATTTTTGCTATTAGACATTGTTTATGTCATGTTATATAATTAAGATTTAGTGAGTCTTTCTTGATATTATGATTGAATTATTTTTTATTATTTCTATTTAAAAAAAAACTGTTATAGTTCATAAATATTTGATGAGGACCAAAACTGTTTCATAAATACATAAAAAGGGACTATTTTGAACTTATCATCAAACATTAGGGACCATTTTTGTCATTTTTCTTCTTGTTAGTTTTGAGAATTGATTTCATTTTGACACAATAGAGAAAACTCATTTCCAAAAGTGATTCTTCTTCCTTTGCCACCTTCTCCACACTACCCCCCACCTTCTTTTCTGTTTTTTTCTGTTGACTGACTGAAGAATAAGGAGCTAATTTGAAGTTGGATTTTGCTCATTTTTCTGTTTAAATCCTTGAAATTGAAAAGGGGTTTAACAGAATCATGGAAAAGAAGAAGGAGAAAGAAAAAGAAGATATGAGGAATTCAAGAAGACAGCTCAAAGCTATGCTTAGGAAGAATTGGCTTCTCAAAATTAGACACCCTTTTGTTACCTGTGCTGAGGTTAGCTCATGCTAATTTCATACTTCAAAGAGTTTAAAAATAGGGAAAAAAGAATAAAGATTCAATTTTTTCTTTTGATTAAGGAAAAAAGAATCAATTTTTTGTGTGGGGTTTGCTTGAATTTTGATAATTTTTTTTTTATCATGGAGCATTTGTTGTCTAAAGTTTATATTGTTATATAAGATTCTGTATTTGGTGTTCATGTCTGATGGAGTGAGGAGATTATAGTTGCTCTATTTGGTGATCATCCTAGTAG